GAACTCTGTGCGTGTCCAACACCTGGCAAGTGCCGGGCACACTTGACCAAATTGCCCTTCTAACTAAAACTCAAAAATTCTTTTAAGGTTTGACTTCTGCCAAAAAATTGGCAGAGTCTCCCCTGTAAAATGGACATTTCCCAATAACTTTCCACCTGTTAAACTACAGTTACTACTGAAAACCAAATCCCAATCGTTCAGCATGCATTAGACAAATAACTTGAATAGCCTCAGGCCTCTTTATACCAAATAAATTATTCTGCCATTTGAATATGAACTCAACTCTTAGAACAACGGGAATACTTATCAAGTTCCAATATGACCTAACTAAACAAATTTTCAGCACTTGATCTTGTGGTTGCACCTAATAACTCTAGGTTGCCAAGCCACACGTAGTTCTTTTAACAAGAAAACAAAGTTCATTACAGACAAGTAGGAAAACGAGAAAACTATTAAAATAATATTGGCCACGGGAAACCTTAATGTCTATATCAACGGTTTAAATAAAATATGCTTCCATCTTTCACATGTAAAACCAAACTCATCACTTAAGAAAATAGTGGTGAATTATATAAAAACAAACTCTCAATCCTTGTCTTATAAATCGAAAAACATGTATTAAAGCTTTCACCAAAAGTACCAAGATAAAATCATCAATTTAAGTTTAAAGATCTCAAAATCAATTACTCTCCACCTAGGTGTACCCCAAGTCATAATAATTCAAATCCACTAATATACCATCAATTCCAATATTATTCCGTCAATTCCAATAATATTCCGTCAATTCCAAATACCAAGTACGTTACAACCTCGCAAAAACTCAGGGGATATGTGGTCAGCTCGAGAAAACATATCTTCGCAGAACTCGAGGGACATGTAGTCAGCCTGAGAACACATATCCTTGCACCACACGATTCAGCCGTCCCAGAACTTGGGGGGGCATTATCATAAATGACAAAGCTGTTTCAAAGACAACCCGGGGTGGGTACTCCCGTGGTTAGCGGCGGATCCAGGAATTTTCCTGGGAAGGGGCAACATTTAAAAGGTTAAAAACTCAAAAGAAATACCCAAATTATTCAAAAAAGGATTTAGGGTTTATGGTTACACAAAGATAACCAAATCAGGAAACAAAAATAATATCTCAAAAAAAAAAAAAAACAACAACAACAACAATATTAAAATACATACTAAAAAATATTTTTTTTAAAAGAAGGAAAAAAAACCAGAAGAAAAAAAATGGGAAAAAAAACATTCAAACTTGGAGAAGAGGGATGGATCTACAGCAAGATTCAGGAGCACACAAAGCTTCGTAAAGAATTAAGACTTCAACGCAAGGCATCCCTTGGTCCATTTAATTCCAACTTGGACTCCAAGAACACGCTCTTCTGTTCTGTGGAAATAAGGCTTTAGGTTTGCTATTTAATTTAATTTTTTTTTTTTGGCCAGACCCAAACGACATCGTTTGGCCAGGACTTAAAAAACAGAACACGCGCTGCACTCAGCGCAGCATCGCAACAAAGAAAAGAAAGGTCGCTGGTTTGTTGAGGCATTTATTCGAACATGTGGTGGGCACCTCCAAGGTAGAGCTGAGGGGCAAACTCCGGCAACTTCAAAGCTTTTTCCGACGAGGGGAGGTGCAGCTGCACCTCCTTGCGCCTCTGTGGATCCGCCAGTGCCCATGGTGGTTTGAAAACCATATTCCAAAACTTATCATAAAATTCCTCTTACTCCAAAAATCTACTTACACAAATCCCTTTTTAAAACGAGATCAATCACAACATTCCTTAATTGAATTTAACCATGCATCATCTTTCAAAATTGTTTCTCAACTACATTTAAATATATACCACATTATGTTAAGAACTAGTGTTCATAATTCATCATTTTCAAGTCACTGAGTATATATATTAAATATAGACATATACTTGGATATTTAATTAGTTTCTTATTCACGTCAAAATCCGATTAACAAACTATTCCTAACTCTTCACAACTAAACATAATATAAAATACTCAAAAGTAAAAGTGATTACATAATAACTAGTAAACATTTAATTAATAAAAAATAGCTCAACCACAAATATTTAATCAAAACCCTTACTCCCGGCCTTAAAAGTGCGGGCGCGTAACTTAAGAAAGTTCTTAGGCCCATTTTCAATAATTCTGACAGTTGGAATGGTCCGAAAAGACCCGAAATTAAATTCTTATATTGGTCAACCTGGTACCCCGTGCGGTCCCCGACCTTCAATTAATAATCCAAAAGTTCCTACGGGTTCAACAAAATTTACTAAACACGCCCTGCAACTTTGGTCCAGATCTAGCGGTCGAATCGTTCACGATAGCATGATCGAACGGTCACTATTTATAAAATCTTTGAATTATTGAATCAGAGCATCTGAGACTCCGATTCTCGATCCGTGAATTCCTACACAATCCTAAAGGTGCATGGATCAATATATCGAACACGGATAACACGCAATATGGGATATCTGATCGACAGTCAAATGATAACCAAATTCATATCCGAGCATACCCTAGTGCCCGAGACGACTTGGGGATCATTTTAGTACCCAATGGCCAGCCACAAAGTGGCCCATGCGCCGCCACACGCGGTGGTTCCGTCAGCTAGAACACATTAAGAGGATGAAAAAGCATACCTAGATCGAAGAAATTGGTGGCCACCGCTTCATCCGCCCACCCAAATTGGGTGATATCAGTCCCAAAAGAACCAGCTCAACCTCCTCTTCCTACCTCACCCCACCTCCTATGGAACCGCCGCTTGTGGTCGCCGAAAAAAGCGAAAATTCGACCGGTTTTGACCCAAACTTACGTTTCACGTTTCTTGCAATTTTTCTCCATCAAATCTATGATAGGTGCAAAATGGCGGACTCATTATCTTGATAAACTTACCTAAATTTACGATCTACAATAAATTCCTAAACTTCATATACTAATTTATTCATGTGAAACTTTATATGCTAATTTGGAACCTACTTAACACATATGCACCAGTAAAATCTGACCATTATAATTTATATTGGAGTCTAGCCAATATTCATCATAAGAATACAATATAAACTAAGCAGAATTTGCCATCGGAGTCTAGCCAAGTGGAAAAGGGGTTTGATTTGCACAAGAGAGAGAGAGAGAGAGAGAAGAAATTCTGCGTTTTTAAAAAACTGACTTCGCAATATTTACAATTGCACCACTGCACTTTCGTTGATCATAACTTCTTCGTTATAACTTCAATTTGAGCCCACTATGTGTCTACGAACTCATATCGACGTGCTCTATGCAACGGTACTACTCAAATCCCCAAATTCTTTCCCGAACAAAAAGTCAATTTTTAAACCCATTAAATATTCTCGGTGTAAAATTATCTTTTACTTGAATATTTTAATAATTAAATATTAATTTACGATCAGGTTATCACAATTTTCAAAACACGAAAATTGATCCTATTCAACCCAACCATCAGCTAGAACACATTGAGCGGATGAAAAAGCATACAAAGATCGAAGAAATTGGTGGCCGGAATTGTTGTAACGAGCTTCGGGAAGTTTGGGTCAAAACCGGCCGGATTTTCGCTTTTTTCGACGACCAAGGTGGGCTAGGAAGAGGGGGTTGAGCTGGTTCTTTTGAGACTGGTATCACCCAATTTGGTGGCCGGATGAAGCGGTGGCCGATCAGTGGCTTTTTTTTTAAGAGGGGGGGGGGGGCGGCTATTTCGCACGCGAGAGAGAGAGAGAAGAAATTCTGGGTTTTTAAAAAACTAACATCGCAATATTTATGATTGTGCCACTACACTTATGTCGAGCGTAACTTCTTTGTTATAACTTCGATTTGAGCCAACTACATGTCTATGAACTCGTATCAACGTGCTCTATGCAACGGTACGACTCAAATCCCCAAATTCTTTCTCAAACAAAAAGTCAATTTTTAAACCCATTAAATATTCTCAGGGTAAAATTTTCTTTTATTTGAATATTTTAATAATTAAATATTAATTTAGGATCGGGTTATCACAATCGAAGTCAAACATTCAAGCCCAACACGTGAGCACCATGTATTAGGTAAGGGCAAACATTCAAGATCAACATGTGAACACCACATGTTGGGTAAGGGGTAAGGGTAAAGGCCCAGTAATTCAGACTCAATCAATCAACTCGCTCTGATACCATGTCAAATTTCAAAGAGACAGGCTAGCGGCCCACTACTAGAAACACCGATATTGTCCCCAACTTAACCACCTACAAAGCCCAGTAGGTGTGGGGTTTTATCACAAAAGGCATCGGTGTTATTAGTAGTAAAACCATTCATTATATTTTGTATTTTATTTAGTTTCCGATTTGGGACTCATATTCTTCAACAGTGTTGGCCATGGCTACTCTGGTGCTTTCATTCTGGTTTGTGTTTGTTCTATGGACTTTTGGTTTTGATAGTTTGTGGGATTTGAGGGGTTAAGAGTGTAAATCTCATTCTTCATCTCTCTCTCCTCCTAATCCGATTTCATACCCACCAATTTCCATCCTCTTATTCCACAATTAAGCAACGATTAACAACCTTCTTCGTTCTCCTCTTTTGGTGGTTCTTCTTGCTATTGGTACCCCTGAAACAGAGGAAGAGATGATAGAGGGGGAGGCGAAGGGGGAGGAACGGCTGGTTATTTTTTAAAAAAAATAATTAAAATTTTAATCTTATTAATTTTCTTTTTGAATATATTAATTTTTTTCAAAAATATTAAATTTTATATTAAAGTTAATTATTCTTAATTTAATATTAAATATTTTTTAATTAATGAAACTAACAGAGTTAGACATTGGACTTGATTTGTTAAGTGACCAAATTTGATTTTGAGCCAAACCCCAATGACCAAAAATGTCATTAACCCAAAAATATATAAATAACTACATGTTTAAGCTTTGAAACAGTATCAAGTGTTGATGTCACAACCCCCTTTCTGTGCGAAGCACATAATAAATCAGCTGAAATGAATTGTATTATATCAGTAATTCTTCCAGGCCTCCACCACTATATTAATTGTAATTGTGTTTGTACACAACAGATTAGTCCCACAGAAAGCAAAAGGAAAAAGCAGGAATCGTATAATCTATATTTTACATGTAATTTGCAGTTCATATAAAACATGAATACAATGAGAATAATTCCTTTTAGGAATAAAAAAGGAACCAATTTTCTGGTAGTTAAATATCTGAAATGCCAGAAGTTTGATACAGAGGTATCAACTTCAGCAACAGCTGCTTGTGGATGCATCTGACTGTGGCGGTTTCTCCTTAAAGATGTTGTTCTTCTTCACCCCTTTAGAACCCTCAGCTAAGAGACTGGGAGTATCCAGAATCTGCATATATATGATTGCAGTTATCGTGCCGTCATTTGGTGCTATAATTTTGTTTTGTTAGTTTATTATTAAGTATTCAACCTATGTCTAAATTAATCTAATGCAATTCTTTGACCAAGTTTTATCAATGTTGTCTTGGCATTATTATATGTCGCTATGCAAACAGTGATTGTTTCTTTTATTCCACAAACTTTCTCAATACACAATTTCCATGGATTGGCGCAGACACAATAAATGTGATAAGAACAGTTAAAAGGTTTCCAAACCTTTAAAACAAGCTCTTCAAAGCACTGCTGCACATTAACTCGAGTTTTAGCACTACATTCAATAAAGAGACATCCAGATTCCCGGGCGAAATTTATTCCCTCTTTCTTTGTCACAACCCTGTCACTTTCCTGAAAAATAAGGATGATCTGAGTCAATATCAAAATCTCAAGAGGTACCTAACAAAAATAGAATACTGATTCAAGGCCATCTAGAATTTGGTGATTAACTTGACCGGTAATGTTTCTTGTATTCATTCAGTTAAATGCCAAGTGTCTAACAAGTGGACGGAGCTCTAAAGTACAAAATAGGGCATCCTTGTGGTAACATAGCAGCAGCACGAGACAGAATCTCAAAAATGGAAGGAAAAAAATCCACACTGAATTTAAAATCATAATTAAATAAAAGAAGCAGAACAGCCTCTAAAACCTTCTTTTAGTATGTGATTTTGCAGAATCTGAATTTGGACATTCAGAGCAATGGCGTTATTAAACCAGACTATCAAGAAACCTCCAACTAGAGGTATCCTGAAAATCTTATTTAAATTCTTGCAGTACAGAATCATGTTTTGAAATTTGCATGTTCTGCAAGGGGCTTCTAAAAATTAATATTTTAATGAGCATACAGAAGCGATATAAGAAATGACTCCAAACCCTTCGCATCTCAGCTCTTGAATATGTAAATACATAGACAGAGCACATATGAATGCTTGTGGTTTAATTCCTCCAAAAATGATTAAAAACAATAAACATCTCCTGAAAATTTAAATTGGAATAGTGAAATACCTTATCAACTTTGTTCCCAACAAGCATCTTGATGCAGTCTTGATTTGTTGAATAGAGTTCTATTTCCTTGGCCCATACATCACAAAGGTTTGTAAATGTTTCTCGCCTTGTTACATCATAAACTGTTAGAGTTTCAAAAACCAAATGAGTACTTAACATAAAGAATTCCTGAATCAGAGGCCTAGCAAGTAACAAATAACTTTATACTTTACCCTAAACCCTAAACCAAAGATCATCCTTGCAAAAATTTATCCAAAATGGAAAACAGTTTACCATTTGAATTATGTTTGTCTACTTATTTGATCATCGTTAGATGAACTAATGATTTCCGATTTGGCTAATTTTTAGAACAATGATCTATGAATGGAGACTTCAAAAGTAGACAGTTCAGATTATTGAAGGGGCCTGGATTTGTTTGTATCATAAAAGATTAAATTCTCATATTCTTTAGGTTTAGCAGCTAGTCGTATTTACACTATGACTGATGTTGTTCAGATTGATTCTCCAACAGAAGAAGACTATAAAAAGAGAGCTTCCATGAGAGTCCATTCGAAACAATGTCAGAAATGAGAAGTCCATTACAAATGCAAGCAAAGGAAAACTAATTGACAAGTCATATGGTGGTTTCACTTATTCTACCAATCATTTGGTGATAGGAGTGCACATAGTAATTTCAGCTTTATTTCTAAACTAAAACTAAAACTAAAGGGACAATGTTGGATAAAACAAGCTCCGGACATTTTTCAGCACAATCTCCAAATTTATAGGTGGCTTTTGCAGATAAGTAAGCTTACATTCTCTTCGTCAACCCTGAGTAGTGAGAGACATTACTGTGCTTGACACAAGAAGGTGATGATAACAGGAATTCTCATATCGGTGAAGGCCAACGTTATTTAATGCTCTTCTGACTAACCAAAAGGAATGCAAAGAGGAAGATTGGTGATAGAGCAATATTAATCAAACACCTAGTCCATAACTATAGACAACAACAGTACTCTTCGCCTACTGAGCCTCATCCAAATATGTACAAAGTAGTATTGGTAAGTGATAGAAATGTCAACTTACATCAATCTGGTAACCTATTCTATTGGAGGATTAGTTGATAATGTACAAGGTAATATGCTACCCTAAAACGTGTATCAAAGTCTAATGGGCCAACCATGGTTATGTCATTAGAAGGTGCACTATTATGATATATTTCATTATATATGGGAACTACGTGTTTAAGCTTGGGCCTACAGTCTCTCATGAAACTCAAGAGTACAACTGGTACTGTCCTTCTTAAACACATAGAAGAAGATGATTCTATTCTCGTCCTCTAACAAACTGGAGCAGGTCAAGTTCCTTTCAGAGAGGCGAAATTACACAATAGCTACTATTGCTTGGTGAAAAAGTTATATCCTCTTTTGAAGTGCAAGAATAACCCATGGTAATGTAATGACAGGTCCATGGAAGTGTCAGTAAATAAAAATAAATCACTAAACCAACCAGTCAAAGGGTCAACCTAAGAGTTAATGTCAAATATTATATAGAATCAATTTATGCATCTTCGAAACACTAAATGTCTTTAAGTTTTTTTTATTTCTCTAATTTCTTGAAAATTAAGCAACTCTGAAACTTTCTTTTTCCCCAAATCTTTTCTCGCAAAATCTATCACCTGATTCTCACTTCACACCCTGAAGTTTACTTTGCCTCGGTTAGCATCACTCAAAAAAAAAAAAAAAAAAACACTTTGCCCCATTTTGTCAACTTTTTCAAAAAAGACCCATTAAGCCTTGTTGACGTGGCATGAGTGGACCCTTTTTTCCCTCGCACGAAAGTGAAGTTTTCATCCCATGGACCAAAGAATAATAAAATTTTCTTTTAAACTTTCTCGTCTTTTAACGATATTAAAGAATGAAAAATTCAGTTGGACTTAAAAAGAAGTAAAAAAAACTGTGGTGCCAATATGTTTATTATTTTTTGGTCTGCATGGTGCCAACTTGGTTTCACATGAACTAAAAATGGGCCCACTCCTGCCACGTCAAGAGGCCTAACGAATTCTTTTGATAGAGAGTTGAAAAAACTGGGAAAAGTGAGACTCAAAGATGAATTTTAGTGAGGTAAGGTAAAGTTCAAAGATTTGGGGGGCATGAACATAATTAAGCCATATTATAATCAAGTCCATGGTTTTGTTCTGTAGTATACAAGCACATTATTTGCACCTCAAACAATTCTGACTTACTTTGAGCACACATAAATACCCATAGAAGTTCATAATTGTATACAACACAGCAAGAAGATTAACACTTAACATTTAAAATGTGATTCTTAAGCCAAAAAATATGCTACATGTCAGGCTTCTCCCACGTCTATAGAACCAAAACACGCTGATTTAATCATAAATCCCAAAAAAGTGAATGCCCTTTGTTTTTTAACATGCTATCAAATTCATCACAGGGTAGCTACTAAAATTCCTCTTCCAAAAGTTTTTTTATAATTCGACATTTCAAAGGACCAATCCTCTAAAAATATAAATAAAGGGCAAAACTAAAGAGAAAAGGCAGCATCATATTCACAACTTCGCAATAAGTCATTACCTGCAATTTCACTTGTAAGAATAATATAAAACAGATGTATGTAACGCTTACCCATAATGATTCCTTGTGCACCTCTGTAATATGAACTTGTCAACGTTCGAAATCTCTCTTGACCAGCTGAGTTTATAAACATTTAGAACCAGTTAGAAATGGCAGTCCAAGCCCTCCTCTTTACAAAAAGAGAAAATTGGTGAAGGATAGCTTACCTATAAAAAATAAAAAATAAAACAATTTACAAAAAAAAAAAATGAAGTCCTAGCAAAAGAAGCAGTGAAAAATATCCAAGGTCATGAATAGCTTAACCATACAATGATGACAAGATGATCTCATGGAATAAGACTCAATGTCAAGAAGCATACAAGCCAAAAGCCAAACATAGATTTGTAAAAGAATGTTTAAAGGCAAATCATGGCATTGGCATGACTACAGAAATTTCTCACATTTATCCTACCATTCATATTAAATGTTAACGCAGAAGAAGTCTTCTGATTCATTCCCAACTGGAAATAATTGGAAACACATGTAGTTGCACATGAGCACTTAAACAATTTGAGTTCAGAGGAAAACCACTATAAATAAAAACATAACAAAAATTAAAAGCCGGGGAAAAAACAGAAACTTGAATGCACATAAGAAAACTAGTTTCGTTTGGTTAAAACACTCCAAGCAACAAGAGGAAATGATTAACAGGCCATCACAAATAATAACAAAAATCCTTCAGAAACTATATTTTATATTTAATTCAATCCTTTTTGTTTTCGTTAACGATCCCACATTTCCGGAATTTATCATACAATTTTGGGTAATCAAAACTTCCAAAATGACCTAATCACATAAGAGCCCGCACTACAAACTGTAAAATCTAAAAAATGTCAGAAATTTGAAGATGAGCGGTGATTTGGGATTACCTGTATCCCAAATTGCAAGCTTGAGCTTTTTGCCTCCAAGAGTAACATATTTCACCTTAAAATCAACACCTACATCCACCAAAAATGAAAATAATAAATTGGGAAAGCATACAATTTCAATTTCAAGAATGTGAAAGATAATATGAAGAAATTGAAAGAAAAGTGAGAGATAGAGTGAAAGGAGATGCAAACCGATGGTAGGAGAAAGGTCTTCGAAGGAATCGGAAGTGAAGCTGAGGAGGAGACTGCTCTTACCAACCCCAGAGTCCCCAATCATCAACAGCTTGAACAGGTAATCGAACTCCGCTTGATTCGAACCCCATTCCATTTCTCAAAATCAATTTCACATCCAAGATTTCAAATTTCAACGCAACGCCAAGATCTATCTAACAACAAACTCTTGCAACGCAACCAAGGACACAACCGTAATTCCAACACTCCCACCGAGTTTGCTCATAACTCGGAACTTTTCCTTCCCTCTTTGAATACTCGATGAGGTGTCAAACGGGCCGTGTTGGGTCGGCCCAATCCATTTAAACTCGTGCCTTTAGAGCATGTCCACCCCAACATTAAAACCGGGTAAAAGGCCCCCCTTGCGAGCCCAAAAGGCCTCCAGTGCGAGAGAAGGAGCCCGGGCAAGCAGTGGGTCCCACCAACCCTGGCAAGCCCACGGGCAAATCCTGCTTGGGCTGCAACCCGAAGGCACTGACGTCAGTGAGCGGAAGTTCAAAATTTGTTTACCGTTGGCGCGTGAAATTCACGCGCCAACTATAAAAAAATTTGACTTCCGCTCTGTGACGTCACGCATGACAGAACCCAACAAGAAAACGCCACATGGCGCTTCCTGAATGCTGCGATGGGGTTTTTTTCCATAAATCCGACGGCCCTCTTTTTTTGGCCAAACAAATTCAAAATTATTTTTTTTAAAATACCAAAAAATACTGGATTTTTTCCCTTTAAATACCTATCAATTTTATTCACTTTCCACACCAAATCTTCATACAAACTCTTCTCCTTCTAGTATTTTTTCCATTTCACTCACATTTTTCTACTAGTTTCCATTTGTATCAAAAAAACAAATGGCCTCTTCTGTCGAAGCTGGAGGCGCTTGCACTACTGTGGAAGATATTGTGTTGTGTGAGTATTGAGTTAAAGTTAGTCATTGCCCTATGTCAGGCAATCAGATGAAGGTTTCTCATATGTGGAGAAAAATTCATGAAGAATTTGCTGATAGATCTAGTTCAACTCGGACGAAAATGGCCTTGCAATCCAGGTGGAAAATTTTGAATAAAGAGTTAGGGAAATGGAGGGATGCCTTGGCAAAAGCGAGGGACAACATTCGAAGCGGTCAAAATCTTACTGATCAGGTAAAATATTTATAATTCTCGTTTTATTCAATTTAACGCAACTTTTTTTTTCTTGCATATTAAATTTATATTTTCTTGCATTTCTAATTTATTTATATTTTGTTTCATAATAATTTTTTTGCATGCATTTGTAAATTGTTTATATTGCCTTACATATTTATTTTTTTGTTGCATAATCATTTTATTTCTTGCATTTCTAAATTGTTTATATTTTGTTGCATAATCAATTTTTTTTCTTGTAATTCCAAATTATTTATATTTTCTTCCATATTCATTTTTTCGTTGCATTTCCAATTATTTATTTTGAATAGATTGTACAAGCACAAATGTGGTTCGGTGCCACGGGGCAAGACAAAAAAAGTTTCCAGAGTCATCAATGTTGGGAAATTGTGAAGAATTGTTCGAGATTCAAAATCATTTGCACTGCTCTGGCGGTTGTGTTGAATGAGACGCCGCTCCACAATTCGTCGACAACCGATTCGCCATTGGACTCCCCAATGGATCAAGACTCACCACTCCCACGTGTGCCGAGACCTATTGGGAGAAAGGCTGCAAAGGCAAAGAAAGGGAGCATTTCGAACAATGAATGTGCACAATTTTTGGAGCAAATTGCTAAGAATAGTGCACTGAGACTTGGGAGAGACTTGAAAAGAGAAGAAGCAGACAAGGCAAGACATGAAGCATTTGCAATTGAAAGGCAGCAGGCACAAGAACAAGACATGAAGGATAGAGAGATGAAAATCATGGCCATGGATATCACCCATATGTCTCCTGAAACAAAGTCCTATTGGAAGATGAAATGAAGGGATGTGATGAGAAGAAAACTTTTCCATGATGACGGACCTAGCAATACGGATTGGTTAAATGATCAAAACCATTAGGTTGGATTCAAAGATTTGCCATATGTATTAAGAATTGTTCTGTAATTTCCCTTTTATTCAATAAAGAAAGCATTAAATAATATGACAGTTTATTAAAAATATTTGCACATGAAAACAAAGTTTAATTAAAAACAAACCTTATTTTATTGCAAACAACACACAAAACAAAGCATAATTCCAAACACACCACACACAAAATAAAGCAAACTTGAAACCAAAGCATTAATCTTGACTTCATCCATTGTGATTGCCTTTCATCTCCCACAAGTACTCGATCAAGTCAACTTGACGCCTCGTGAACATACGAAGATTGCATTTCCTGGTAACGATTAATCATGGGGTTGTTGAATCAACCTTCCCGAAGTAACGGTTCGTACTCCAATGGATGTCCATTTGGTCCCATCGACCTCTCATAAATTCTTGTCAAGGTCATTTTCATGGGATCCGGTTCGAACACCTCTGGAGCATCATAATCATACTCATCCTCCACAATCATGTTATGGAGGATGATGCAAGTCATCATAATGCTCCGCAGCACCCCCTTATCAAACATCCGAGCAGCACCCCTAATAATACCCCAACGAGCTTGCAAGATACCGAAACACCTTTCCACGTCTTTCCTGTTACCTTCTTGAAAGGCAGCAAATCTTTTTTCCTTCTCAAATTGGGGATTCAGAATTGTTTGCACAAATGTCGTCCACCTAGGATAAATTTCGTCGGCAAGGTAGTATGCACCAGAGTATACGGTATTGTTGATTTGGTACGTGATCTGGGGGGAATGACCTCGCAATACATCGTTTAAGACCGGGGATTGACCAAGCACATTGAGGTCATTATGAGATTCGGCAACTCCGAAGAAGGCATGCTAAATCCAAGTGTCGAATGAAGCTACAACCTCCAGAATTATACTTTTTTGGCCCTTTCGATTCCCATAATCTCCTTGCCAAGCAGTTGGGCAATTCTTCCACTGCCAGTGCATGCAATCTATGCTTCCAATCATTCCTGAGAAACCTCGAGCCTCACCTTTTTGCAGAAGCCTTTGGAGGTCCCTAGGCGTAGGTTTGCGACGGTACTCCCTCGTGTAGAAATTTTTTACTGCATCACAGAATCTCACCAAGCACTCTAGGATAGTTGATTTTCCCATCCTTGCAATCTCATCCACCTGCTCTTCAGATGCCCCATAAGCAAGCATCCGCAAAGCAGCTGTAAGTTTTTGCTCCGGGAGAAGACCCAAAACTCCAACAGGCATCATACTTCTGAATGAAGTATGTGTCGTAATTACAAATATTATGCACGATTTTTTGGAACAAATGTGGCTGCATTCTATATTTCTCTCGAAACTTAGAAACAGGATATAATGAATTTGGGATAAAGTAATCTTCCAAGAGATTCTTACCCTGAGACTGCCTACGTCTGTCCACATTTGGGGCACAATGACGATGGTGTTGCCTTGATTCATTAAGCATACACATCGCTACAAGCATTTCTTCCTCTTCTTTATCGGCCTCCCGATTTTCCTCAGCACGTTTGTGCCGGATTTCTTCCTCTTTTCGCTCTTGCCTCTCCAACACCCTCCTCGAGTTTGACATTGAGAGTAGAATGTGTTTTGTAAAATCTCATAAATGAAGGAATAGATAAGATATGGCGTGAGATGTATGAGTTGATGGTGTAGTTTTATAGAAGGATTCAAAAGATAGAGATGACACGTGGCGCAATTTTAGAGGGTGAAAATTTTATCTGAAATATGAGATTATAATTTTTTTTAATAAATATCCGAAAATTTTATTTGAAATAAGACACGTGGCAACCGAGAATCTCATTCGAAAATCTTTTTTGAAAAATGATGGACACGTGGCAACCAAAAATCTTATTTGAAAATTTAATTCGAAAATTTTATCCGAAAATGTTATCTGAAATTTTAGGTGATAATTTTATAATAAATAGTGGCACGTAGCAACCGAAAATATTATCTGAAAAGCTTATCAAAATTAATAGTTTAAATTATAAAAAAATTCAAACAAAAAAAAAGTATAAGAAAATAGGAAATAAAGTACAATGAATAGTATTTGCCCTTGCCTTAGCCTTTTGGGGTGGACATGCTCTTTATGTATTCATGCCGGGTTAGGTCAGGTTGGCTCATTTAATTTATTGAGTCGTGTCATGTTGGCTCATTTAGTAAAATCATTGATTCCAGCCCGACCCAAAGCCCAAGTCCACATTGAAACGGGCTGTGCCGAGCTTGGGCCCAAGAACAAGCCCATTTAATTTGAATTTTTTTTACTTGATTTTTTTTCCCACTAGATAATTCAAATTATAAACATTGAGGATATTATCGTTTTTTTAAATCACGGATATTTCGGAACGTATCCATGCACATATCGTATAAATATCGATAATATCGGAAAATATCGATGTTGATAATATCGGAAAATATCGATGTCGATAATTTCGCTCACACTTCAGCAATATTTTGTCAAAATATCACTGTAATATCGATATAATATCGAAAAAGGGGGAAAGGGAGAAAAAAGGGGGGAAAAGGAGAAAAAAAAAAGGGAAAATGGAGAAAAAAAAAACACAAAGGGGATTTGAATCCTTCCCATTTTACTCCTCCAACGCCTTAACGACCGTATCACTTATGTTTTTGTGATAATATGCTAAAATATTTATATTTATATTGTTTTGTTTTGAATTCTTTTTGCAAGAATCAAATTTTCACATGAGAATGAATCTTTGACCTTTCCTTTTGGGATGGAATCGAGTGGCTCATGGAAAGAATCCGAGACTGAATCTTCAAATGATTTTGCTTATGGACAACGTCAACCAATCTCGGATCCATATGGGTGGCATGTTAACAATTACATGCAAAACTATTTTGGGGATTTATCATTTGATGACTACTCTTCACAATACGCTTACTCTACACATAGAGATGATGAAGATAGTGAAAAATTTGAACCTCATAAGAACTCTATGTGGTACTAAGTCACTCATGTATCTTACCATGCAATGTATAAAGTGTAAAATATTGTAGTAAATCAATATATATAAATGATTATGGTGTGTTTAATCTTTTTTAATTAATTACTACATATTTTCTACACTCACAGTGTTTGCCAGATCGCTGTATAATCAACTTAAATCAGTTAACACCATCATGCAATGCATTTCCTTCTAATTTTTTGTGATAAACTAATAGATAATTGACTAGATAAACATTCTCCAAAGTTTCAATAAAAATTT